TGTGTGTTGAGCGTGTGTGTGTTGACCGTGTGTGTGTTGACCATGTGTGTTGACCATGTGTGTGTTGACCGTGTGTGTGTTGACCGTGTGTGTTGACCATGTGTGTGTTGACCGTGTGTGTTGAGCGTGTGTGTGTGTGTGCTGATCGTGTGTGTGTTGACCGTGTGTTGACCATGTGTGTGTTGACCGTGTGTGTTGAGCGTGTGTGTGTTGACCGTGTGTGTGTTGACCATGTGTGTTGACCAGGTGTGTGTTGACCGTGTGTGTGTTGACCGTGTGTGTTGACCGTGTGTGTGTTGACCGTGTGTGTGTGTTGACCGTGTGTGTTGAGCGTGTGTGTGTTGACCGTGTGTGTTGACCATGTGTGTTGACCGTGTGTGTGTGTTGACCGTGTGTGTGTTGACCGTGTGTGTGTTGACCATGTGTGTGTTGACCGTGTGTGTGTTCACCATGTGTGTTGACCATGTGTGTGTTGACCGTGTGTGTTGACCGTGTGTGTTGACCATGTGTGTTGACCGTGTGTGTTGACCGTGTGTGTTGACCATGTGTGTGTTGACCGTGTGTGTGTTGACCGTGTGTGTTGACCGTGTGTGTTGACCGTGTGTGTGTGTGTGTGTTGACCGTGTGTGTTGACCATGTGTGTGTGTTGACCGTGTGTGTGTGTTGACCATGTGTGTTGACCGTGTGTGCGTGCGTTGACTGTGCGTGTGTTGACCGTGTGTGTGTTGACCATGTGTGTTGACCGTGTGTGTGTTGACCGTGTGTGTGTGTGTTGACCGTGTGTGTGTGTTGACCATGTGTGTGTTGACCATGTGTGTGTTGACCGTGTGTGTGTGTTGACCGTGTGTGTTGACCGTGCGTGTGGTAAAGGGCCCCCCAATGCCAGCCCATTGGGGGGGGCCTAAGCTGAAATAATGTTGCGGGGCCTACTCCCTTCTGGTTTATACACTCTCGCGTAAGATGACAGAAGAGACAGAGAGGACACAGAGAGAGATGCAGTAAGATAAGAGAGACAGAGATGTAGGCAGAGATGGAGTCAGATTAAAGAAGAGAGATGCAGGCAAGAATGTGGTGAGTAGATATCAAATTATCGAAAGAACCAAAATTATCGCATTGTTGATGAGGATTTCAAGGACTTCAATCTGACATTTGACTTCACCCACATTTTTTTTAATGAATCCTAAACTAAACTCCTACACTATTTCTTTTATTTTACCAGGTATGGCTCACTTAGCTATATAGCTTTTCACAAGCGACCTGGCCACAAATGAAAGCTCAACGACGTGGCTTATTACGTGGAAATGTACAGCAACCATATACTCTAAACGCGTGACGTTGATTCTAAATGTGGAGGGATAAACCGGAGGACCAGGAGAAAAATCCATGCGACCACGGGGAGAGAGACACCGCAAACTCCAAATATACAGCAGCAGGCGCCAGGGTTGAGATCGAACCCACGACCTCCTGTAGACCAGGCGAGGTAGTTAACATCTCCTAGCCACCGTGATGATGATGAGAGAGAGACCGCAAACTCCAAATATACAACACACATCGTCAAGGGTCGGGATTGAACCCACGACCTCCTGCATACCAGGCGAGGTAGTTAACATCTCGTAGCCACCGTGATGATGATGAGACACCGCAAACTACAAATATACAGCAGCAGGCGTCAGGGTTGGGATTGAACGCACGACCTCCTGTACACCAGGCGAGGTAGTTAACATCTCGCCCACCGTGGTGCTGGTGGGACCCAAGAGCCGCTCGGGGCTCCACGGCGTTTGCTCGGCTCCGCTCGTCGTGCCAAGCACTGCCCCGTGCCCTCTACCCCCCCCACTCCCCACCTCCCTTTCCCTCCCCCCGCGCGCGAACAAATGGGAGCCACCGGACACGTTGCGTGGAGGGAAAAAACCCAAAGGTCAGTCTCGGATGACCGACTGACGCTTGGGGTGAACGACCGGGGGGGGGGGGGCACGCCCCGCCGCAGTAAACCGTCAAGAGTTTGCAGGTGCGGCCGCACGAGCGGGTCGCGGCCCGTCATGCGACCGCGAATAGAATTGTCGTACAGCGTTGTTGTAGAATGATTGTACCGCGGACGTGATAAACTACGAACTCTTTTGCTTTTATTGTACGAGTTTAAGGCCCATTGGGCTGTGCGGCTCTGTCCCAGAAGCCACCTGGCCACAAGTGACGGCTCAACTAAGTGGAGGGGAAAACCGAAGGACCCGGGGAAAAGAATCCACGCGACCATGGGGAGAGAGAGACGTGCAAATTCTAAATGTACAGGTGTCAGGGATATGATTGAACCCACGACCTGCTGTATGCCAGGCGAGGTAGTTAACATCTCACTGCCGTGGCGCCCACGACGTCATGTGACACGGAGGAGGATGCAGCGTGTGGTGACAGAGGCGCCGGGCATGAAATTTGAGGAGGCGGTGGCTTGGGGTTAAACGGTTACGGTCCAAAATATGCAAAATGACACCGTAAATGACTCAATGTGGAGTCACACACAGCAGAAGCAGCAACGTCGCCCACCACCGACCACTGGGAAACTACCGCAGGCTGCGTCTGTGAAACAGCAGCAGCAGCAGCGCCTTCCTTCATCACGCGATGATGATTGCTCCGAGATCGTCGCGGATCTCCGAACGCACCCGGAGCGTGAATTACGACTCCAGCACCGCGACCGTTGGAGAAATGCGACGCGTTGTCTTGAGGGGCTAAGTGGAGCCGTTGTCAGGAGGAGTTGTTACTCGTTTGTGTCATTACATGTACAGCGGTGCGACTGTGTCCATGCAAGCCACGCTACGGACCGTGCGGTTAGTCTACGGGCAGTGTTAGTCTACGGGGAGTGTTAGTCTATGGGCAGTGTTAGTCTATGGGCAGTGTTAGTCTATGGGCAGTGTTAGTCTATGGGCAGTGTTAGTCTATGGGCAGTGTTAGTCTATGGGCAGTGTCAGTCTATGGGCAGTGTTAGTCTATGGGCAGTGTTAGTCTATGGGGAGTGTTAGTCTATGGGCAGTGTTAGTCTATGGGGAGTGTTAGTCTATGGACAGTGTTAGTCTATGGGCAGTGTTAGTCTATGGGGCAGAGTTAGTATATGGGCAGTGTTAGTCTATGGGCAGTGTTAGTCTATGGGGAGTGTTAGTCTATGGGCAGTGTTAGTCTATGGGCAGTGTTAGTCTATGGGCAGTGTTAGTCTATGGGCAGTGTTAGTCTATGGGCAGTGTTAGTCTATGGGGAGTGTTAGTCTATGAGCATTGTTAGTCTATGGGGCAGAGTTAGTCTATGGGGCAGAGTTAGTCTATGGGGCAGAGTTAGTCTATGGGCAGTGTTAGTCTATGGGCAGTGTTAGTCTATGGGGAGTGTTAGTCTATGAGCATTGTTAGTCTATGGGGCAGAGTTAGTCTATGGGGCAGAGTTAGTCTATGGGCAGTGTTAGTCTATGGGGCAGTGTTAATAATTTTTTTATTCTGTAAAAAACCCTCAATATTTCAAGAGCCGCAATGTGAACACAAGACTGTGGCCCTTAATAAAAAAACGTCACATATCCGTCCTTGCAAGACTCCGACGCCTGGTCCATGGGAAATGTCAAATTTACGGGCAACGTTCGTCTATGGGATAATTTAGTCGATGAGCAATAGTAAGTCTATTGGCAATATCAAGTTTACAGGCAATGTAAGTCTACGCGAGCACTTAGTTTATGGACCACTGTTCGTTTTGGGGAATGTTAGTTTATGGGCAATATAAGTAAAGCAATGTAGCCTGCGCTCGCTCAACGGAGGCGTAGCAAATCAACGTAAACTAGAACTCGTGAAACCCTCTCGTCGTCGTGGCCAGCACGCCTCGACACCTGGCGCCGAGCTCCTGGACGCAAAGCCAGGGCGCAAAGAACAGGACTGACCCGGCGGCTGATGATGATGCACTTCCAATTCGATTTAAAGCTTTCGTGACTGCAGGGATTAATCTTCTTGGTTCTTTCGGTAAAGTCACGTAGAAGGGAAATAATAAAATAATAAAAATAAAACATTAAATAATTCTCACGACGTTTCGGCCACAACGCAAGCAGCCGTCCTCAGGTGAAGAACAGGTCTGTCGGGAAGACAGCGTCTGAAGCCTGGGGTGACTTTACCGAAAGAACCAAGAAGATGCAGTTTCATTACAGGCTACTTCTCTGTAGCTGGGCCTGATCTCCACGGACTGTGCGGAGGCATGAGGGTCCTTGTATTTCATCACAGGTGTGTGTGTGTGTGTGGCAGGGTTGGTATAGTCGCTCTGACCCCCCCCTTCCCCTGTCCAAGTTCACCCGCACCGCCTCTCTTTGTAGCCCGGCTTCCGGGCGACTCCGGACCGTGGGTCCCCGTGCAGCTACACCGCCTGCGCACTGTCAGGCTCCACCGCTGCACAGGCAGACGCCGCACGGGAACCACACGGACAGAAAAGCCGAACAGACATCTGGATTTCGTCGGACAGTTCTGGCGGTATCAAAAAGCCCGTCCTCCGTCCGTGGGCCTCACAAAGCCTTCCTGAAAATCCAGGTTTTTGTCGCCAGTTTAAAACGGATCCGGCCTCGTGCTCAACTCACGGTGACCCGGGTGGTAGGCGGGGTTACCTGAGCAGGGGGCGGGGCTTACCCGAGTAGTGGGCGGGGCTTACCCGAGTAGTGGGCGGGGCTTACACGAGTAGTGGGCAGGGCTTACCCGAGTAGTGGGCGGGGCTTACACGAGTAGTGGGCAGGGCTTACCCGAGTAGTGGGCGGGGCTTACCCGAGTAGTGGGCGGGGCTTACCTGAGTAGCGGGCGGGGCTGTCAGAGCCAATCCGCTGGCTGTGTGGGCGGTGCTAGTGGTTGAGTGGGCGTGACTAGTTACAAAGTGGGTGGCGTTGACGGAGGGAGGCGCTCCCAAGCTCACCGCGTGTCCTCTGGTCGAGCCTCCCGGACATTCTGGAGCTTTACACGGACGGCACACACGGACACCGCACAGGCAACCACACGGGACCCAGCGAGTGCCTTTCAGCCGTGGTTTATTCCTCAACCTTGCCCGATAAGGATGCCCTATGTGGGGGAGGGTGAACGTGCCCCCCCCCACCCCCACCCACCTTAGACCTTGACCTCTGACCCTTTTAATCAACCTGCCAGCTCACACCACAGCCTCTGCACCAACTCAAAAACGAGAACGGCGCTGTAAGTTAAACGTTCAATGATGAATCGGTTAAACACAGGTCGAACGGGGAGTCCCAACGCAAACGGGGGGGGGGGGGGGGGGGCGGGGGGGCTGTACCGTAACCGTGACAACTGCAACGATGAACAAGGGACTGCAATCGCGTGGTGCAATACGCACTGCCACTAGCATCGCAACTGTTTAGTAAAACGCACACAACACACTCGCTTACTCACTCGCATACACTCGCGTACGTATACTGTACACTCACTCTGATATACCCACACTCGTCCACTCACACTCATACATAGACACAGATTCCCCGTATAGCCTTAACAGACTGTCGGCACACGAGGGGGTGGGTAGCCAGCACCACGCCCGGCCGCCTTTGTCTCCCCAGTGGCAATGTTTACACATTCCACCAGGTACTTATTTGAGGCTGAGTCGACTTATGGGAGGCCCAGGACCAGTTCAGATAATTGTCACTGGTGTGGACCATGAGCAGGAATTGAATTCGGGTCAACGGGTTTCTTAGGGCAGCGCGCTAACCGCGACACTAACACTCACACTCGCAGGCATGTACTCACACTCATACACTTCCATATTCACACTTACACACTCTCATACTCTCATACACTCACGTGCACTCACACATACAAAGACACTGACACACTTTACATCCATACACTCAAAACAAAAGACAAAGATCCCCCGCATAGTCTCAACAGACTGCTACACAGACACACTTTAGCATTCTCAGGCACAAGGACACGAGCAAACACACACAACGCATCGGAACACACAGCCAAAAACAGACACACACACACAAAACAAAAACACACAAAGGCACAGAGACACAACAAAACATCCCCCATATAGCCTTCACAGGCCATTCGGGCAAGTGCTGTTAGCCAGACACACAACACTCACAAAGACCAAAAATAAAGATCCCCCATAGGGGCCATCCATTGAGTACATACGCAAAAATCTGTCAAACCTTGACCCCTCCCCCCTCCCTGTACGCACGCAGACTTTTTACACCCCCGCCCCCACCTGCGTAGGTACGCTTGACGCACCCCCACCCCTCCAATCCTATAGAACGGCCGATATTTCATCCACGCAGAAACGAACAAGGATGAATAATATTCACGTGTTTAAGCAAACAGATAGTCCACCCCCGGCTGCATTAAATAATTAAGTTGCGTACCCTGGCCACTTATTTTGCCGAGCTGCGTGCTAGCTGCAGTCAGGGGCCTGGTGGCACACGGAGTGACACCTCTCCCACAGTCCCACTTCTCCCGGCAGGACTTGAAGACACTGAACTGTGGCCCCATATGCAAGCGAACGCATTTGGATGAACCCCCCTCCATAAGTACGTACTAAATGGATGGCCCCTTAACAGACTGTTGTGGCAAGCGCTGTTAGTGAGCACATATGAATGCCAAAACAGCACACGAGGGGGTGGGTGGCCAACACCACGCCTTTGCCTCCCGAGTGGCGATGTTTACACACCGCACTGGGTACTCATTTTAGGCTGCGTCGACCTACAGGAGGCCCAGGACCGGTTCAGATACTCGTCACTGGTGTTGGCCGTGAGTGAGAATTGAACTCAGGTCGCCGGGTTCGTCGCGCTGCTACACTCACAAGATCACGTACAGACACAAAGACATAGACACACACTCACCCAGACACTCACTCCCCCTCCCACTCAGTCACTCACTCCCTCACCAGACACTCCCTCACCTGCACACTCACTCACTCACTCACCCACCCACCACCTCCCACAACACTACCAAGTACAACGCAAGGGTGACACATTCATAGAACCGTCACCGCGACAACCGCTACCACCGGCCACCAGCACCGCCGCCGGCGGGGCGGACACAACCGTATCGGCGAAAAACCGTCACGATGAAACAAACAAAGCAGCCGTCGTCACAACCGTCGTCACAACCGTCGTCACACGGGAAGATAACCGTCACGGTGAGCGAGCCGTCACGGCACCGTCAGCGCCGCCGCCGGTGAAGGAGCGGTGACGGCGGCGACACCGTGGGACGAGGGTCCCGGCACGGGGCGGGCGATGGGAGAGCGCCAGCCCCCGGTGACGCCTCTAGTGACCCAGCAATCCTGTGCCTGGGGCGGGCAGATGGGGGGGGGGGACACGTCGCCCACTCACTCACAGAGAATAAATAATTCACTCACGTGTATAGAGAGAGAGAGAGGGAGGGATTACACATGGGTCACTCACTGTCACGCAAGAGAGAATAAATCACTCACTCACACACACACGTACAGAGAATAGATCACTCACTCATATAAACACAAAGATCCTCCGTATCGCCTGAACAGACTGTTGGGGCAAGTGCTGTTAGTGAGCACTCTGAAGGCCGGCACGGTACAGCACCACGCCCGACCGCCTAACGTATCCCGAGTGGCGATGTTTACACACCGTACCAGGTAATCATTTGGGGTTAAGTCGACCTAGGGGATGCCCACGACCGGTTCAGATATTTGTCAATGGCGTTGGCCGCGAGCGGGATTTTAACTTGGGCCGCCGGATTTGTAGCGCAGCGCGCTCACTGCTACACCACCACTCCCCACTCACTCACGCAAACACACAGAATACATCACTCACTCACACACATACAGAGAATACATCACACACTCAATCACACACATACAGAAACTACATACTCGTTGGTTCTTTCGGTAAAGTCACGTAGGCATAAAATAAAATAAATCACGACGTTTCAATAGCAACACAAGCGGTCGTCCTCAGGCACACACAGAGAATACATCACACACTCACTCACACACATACATACAGATAATACATCACACACTCACTCACACACATACATACAGATAATACATCACACACACACTCACACATACACAGAGAATACATCACACACTCACTCACACACATACATACAGATAATACATCACACACACACTCACACATATACAGAGAATACATCACACACACACACACAGAGAATACATCACACACTCACTCACACACAGAGAATACATCACACACACACACAGAATACATCTCTCATAAACTCACTCGCACAGAGAACACATTGCTCACTCATAATCGCCCGATGATGCTGGATTTAATTAGCAGAGAAACGTCGTACTACTCAAATTGTAAATGTCGTGAATTTACTCTCCAACACATCGTGGGCTTAAGTACAAATCCCTTATTAATTGGCTGTATCGGGTGGTGGAGGGTTACGACACATTTATACTTACGCGATCTCACCTAAAAACCTTATTACGAATATTGGTCGCAAAAGCCTGCTACGTGTTCAACATTGCTCACTTACACAGTCACGCACACAGACAATACATCATTCATTTACACACTCACACACACTGATAACACCTCACACACGCACACACAGACAATCCATCACTAACGTAGACAAACAGAGAGAATACATCCTCATGGCCAACAGCCACCAAAGCCACGAACCAAAGACAAAGACCCCCCACGCAGCCTACACAGACAATAGGGGCAAGTGCTATCAGAGGGCCTTTACTTCCCAAGTGCTCACGTTCATGCACCGCACCAGGAGGCTCATTCGCCTTTCAAATCTGCCCACCCAAAGCGTCATCACATTCACCCCTTCCCTGTTGCGAGACGGGTCGCGGGTGGTGTGTCCTCCCCCCACCGTTCACCGGCCAATCGCGGAAGCGTGCTTAGAGAGGCGTAGTGGCAGCGCCCGCTGTGTTTAACGACGCCGTCACTCGCCGCGGAGAACCGCGAGCGACACGACCGTCACCACTCTACGTGAGCTGGCACTAAACAGTGACACGCGCAGTGCTCCCCCCGCATGGCATTGTGGGAGCTTCGGGCACTGATAAAGTCAGAATTGTTTTAGTTTTTAGATGACGTGCACGCATCTCATTGCAATGGGAACAGGTTAATACCCAGACAATTCTACGCAGTGAGAGATAAAAAAAAATTGTAATACTATTTTGAGCTGTTGATAATGTAAAAATAAAAGTAACATGTGGCAGTGACCGAGTTGTTGTATGGAAGTGCACGCATGCAGACGCACGCACGCGCGTGGTTCCACGCGACAGAATGCACGAGACGGACAGAGTGATATAGGCAGAATGCACGAGACAGACAGAGAAATATAGACATACCGGGCGAGACAGAGAGTGATAGAGACAGATACAGAATGAGACAGACAGAGAGATATAGACATACCGGGCGAGACAGAGAGTGATAGAGACAGATACAGAATGAGACAGACAGAGAGAGAGTTACAGACGACAGACAGACCGGGACAGACGAAACAGGAGGGAGGAGTTTCCAAAGCGAACACAGAAACTTTGTGAGCAAAGTGGCGGAGGACTTACCTTTGAAGCCTTCTTCCGGCACGCACACTGCAACACACACAAAGACAAAGATCACCCGTGTAGCCTTTAACAGACTGTTTGGCCAAGTGACGTTAGCGAGCACCTCTGTGAAGGCCGGCACGGCACACGAGGGGGTGGGTGGCCATCGCCACACCCGGCCGGCCGGCTTTGTGTCCCCAGTGGCGATGTTTACTACACACCGCACTAGGTGCTCATTTGAGGCTGAGTTGACCTAGCGGAGGCCCAGGACCAGTTCAGATAATCGTCACTGGTGTTGGCCGTGAGCGGGAATCGAACGCGGGCAGCCATGTTCATAGCGCAGCGCGCTAACCGCTACACTGCCGCTCTCCACATACACACACAGCGTCACACATACACACACAGCGTCATACACGCACACACAGCGTCATACACACACAGACAGCGTCACACACACATACCATCATACACACACATAGCATCATACACTTGGCGTCATACACACACGCACACACCGAGAGCGTCTTGCAGACACAAACACAGCGTCATACACACACACTGTCATACACACACACAGTGTGATACAATCACAGCGTTATACACACACAGACAGTGTCATACGTAACAGTCGGTCACACAAGACGCGGCGCAACACACGCGACAAGCCATCTTCTCACCCTGCGTGATGTCATCGATGCTCGAGTAGTCTGCAATCGGCTCGTCGGCCTGCGGGCAGAAACATCACCATCATCATCGTAACCTTCATCATCATCTTCGCCATCGTTAATTGTTTTTTTAAAGGTCAGGTCGTCGTGTGAGTGACCAATGTGTCGGAGACCCCTCCTCAACCCGGCACAGCCAACGAATGAAAGTGCATCGCGTGAATCTAGACGTAGACAAACGTACGACTGCTTCAGCAGCAGCAGCACCACCACCAACGGTGGCGTTGTTTGTTGTTGTTGTTGTTGTTGGAGAGCGCTCTCACGACGTTTCAAAAGGTGACGACGTTTCGCTGGAGATGTCATTCGGAATTCTTGTCTCAGTGTGGTCTGGGACTTGTTGTTGTTGTTGTGGTCTGGGACTGTTGTTGTTGTTGTCTTGCTGTGGTCTGGGACTGTTGTTGTTGTCTTGGTGTGGTCTGGGACTGTTGTTGTTGATGTCTTGGTGTGGTCTGGGACTGTTGTTGTTGTTGTCTTGTTGTGGTCTGGGACTGTTGTTGTTGTCTTGGTGTGGTCTGGGACTGTTGTTGTTGTTGTCTTGTTGTGGTCTGGGACTGTTGTTGTTGTCTTGGTGTGGTCTGGGACTGTTGTTGTTGATGTCTTGGTGTGGTCTGGGACTGTTGTTGTTGTTGTCTTGTTGTGGTCTGGGACTGTTGTTGTTGTTGCTGTCTTGGTGTGGTCTGGAACTGCTGTTGTTGTTGTCTTGGTGTGGTCTGGAACTGCTGTTGTTGTTGTTGTCTTGGTGTGGTCTGGGACTGTTGTTGTTGTTGCTGTCTTGGTGTGGTCTGGGACTGTTGTTGTTGTTGTCTTGGTGTGGTCTGGAACTGCTGTTGTTGTTGTTGTCTTGGTGTGGTCTGGGACTGTTGTTGTTGTCTTGTTGTGGTCTGGGATTGTTGTTGTTGTCTTTTTGTGGTCTGGGACTGTTGTTGTTGTTGTTGTCTTGGTGTGGTCTGGGACTGTTGTTGTTTTTGTTGTTGTCTTGTTGTGGCCTGGGACTGTTGTTGTTGTTGTTGTCTTGGTGTGGTCTGGGACTGTTGTTGTTGTTGTGGTCTGTGACTGTTGTTGTTGTCTTGTTGTGGTCTGGGACTGTTGTTGTTGTTGTCTTGGTGTGGTCTGGGACTGTTGTTGTTGTCTTGCTGTGGTCTGGGACTGTTGTTGTTGATGTCTTGGTGTGGTCTGGGACTGTTGTTGTTGTTGTCTTGGTGTGGTCTGGGACTGTTGTTGTTGTTGTCTTGGTGTGGTCTGGGACTGTTGTTGTTGTTGTTGTTGTTGTCTTGCTGTGGTCTGGGACTGTTGTTGTTGTTGTCTTGGTGTGGTCTGGGACTGTTGTTGTTGATGTCTTGGTGTGGTCTGGGACTGTTGTTGTTGTTGTCTTGGTGTGGTCTGGGACTGTTGTTGTTGTTGTTGTCTTGCTGTGGTCTGGGACTGTTGTTGTTGTTGTTGTTGTCTTGGTGTGGTCTGGGACTGTTGTTGTCTTGGTGTGGTCTGGGACTGTTGTTGTTGTTGTCTTGCTGTGGTCTGGGACTGTTGTTGTTGTTGTTGTCTTGGTGTGGTCTGGGACTGTTGTTGTTGATGTCTTGGTGTGGTCTGGGACTGTTGTTGTTGTTGTCTTGGTGTGGTCTGGGACTGTTGTTGTTGTTGTTGTCTTGCTGTGGTCTGGGACTGTTGTTGTTGTTGTTGTCTTGGTGTGGTCTGGGACTGTTGTTGTTGTTGTCTTGGTGTGGTCTGGGACTGTTGTTGTTGTTGTTGTCTTGCTGTGGTCTGGGACTGTTGTTGTTGTTGTCTTGGTGTGGTCTGGGACTGTTGTTGTTGTTGTCTTGCTGTGGTCTGGGACTGTTGTTGTTGCTTTGCTACCTTGCCCCAAGCTTACTTTTGGTGTTGACAAATCGGCAGGGATGTTCGTGCTTGTGCAATTTGTACATCCATGCTTTATTATTATTTTTATTTATTTTCAGAGGCTTGCTTACCTTGCCTCTATCTTGCACTCACATCGTCTAAAGTTTGTATTGTTGGTTGTTGATGCAACACGATGACCCCCACCCCCCCTACTGCTGGACATCCGTGAAAAGGAACTTCACAGCCCATCGGAATCTTCCAGGATAAACGACGATTCCAAATTTGCATTCAGAATTATCGGCTTTGTTATGAACGGGAGCTCGGATCTCGAGTAAAAATGCTTCCTGATTCGGGTCCTTAAGCAGATGCCGTGAAGCCATCGGCAGTCGCTTGGCTACGTGCGGTGCGAGAGAAGTTCAACATACGTACGTACACACATGGTGTAACGATTGGCTGTGTCGGGTGGTAGAGGGTTTACGACAATACCTAACCCCACACAAACCTTAATTATGAATCATCATCGTAATCATTATCACCACGATCACTTGGGTCACCATCCATCGTCATCACCACGATCGTCATCATCATCACCACCACCATCTCATCGACATATCATAGTCGTCATCGCCATGGTGAAAGAATAAAGCGCACACGCTAGCCATCGCCACGGCGACCTGGCAAGATGTTGCCGCAGTGACTGAGCAAACGTTCGTCACGGTGACTAGGACAGTTGTTATCACCACGGCAACTGCATGAACAGTTGTCGTGGTGATTAGGTGCGTATTTGTAACGGCACGCATCACATCTAGGACATTGCCATGGCAACAGGGCGAGTGGTCGCCATGGAGACTGGGTGAGCAGCTGTCATGGCAACAGGGCCAGCAGATGTCACGGTGACTGGGCAAACGGCCGTGAGGGCGACTGGGCAAGCGGTCGTCACGGTGACTGGGCGAGCGAGCGGTCGCCACGGCGACCGGGGGGAGGGGTTGTCACGGCGATGGGGCGAGCGGTAGAGACCTGGAGCAGGATGACGGAGTTGGGGAGGACGCCCAAGTGGCCAAGGGAGGCGGAGTCGTCCGACAGGATCCGTCCGTCCACCGACAGGTTCTGGTCAAACGGAGCCACTGAGAACGCGTGCATGATCTGTACACGCAGACACAAAGATCCCCCGTGCGGCCTTTAACAGACCGCTGGGGCAAGCGTTGTTCGCGAGCACGGCCGACGAGGGGATGGGCGGTGGGCACCACGGCCGGCCACCTTTGTCTCAGTTAAGGCCGAGTCAGTCCGCAGGAGGTCCGGAACCGGCTCGCACGTGTATCCACGCGTCGTCGGCGTGTGTCGTGCGGCGGTGGACCTGTATCTTGAGCTCGCGGAGCGTCTGCCGTGCCGACACCACGAGGCCCTTCTCCCCGCGCACGCGGCGGTGCCGAGCGCTGCGCCGCACCGCCGCCTCCGCCGCCGCCACCGCCGCCGCTGCCGTTGCGGAGCCGGGGCTCTCGACGGGGCTGACGCGGCGCCGCTTCAGCCCGTTGGCCTGCTGCACGTGCGCACACACACACGTACACGCGTGCACACACATACACACATGCGCACACACATACGTACACACATACGCACACACGCACACACGCGCACACACACACGTACGCGCACACACACGCACGCACGTACACACGCACACACACACACGTACATACACGCATACACACACACACGTACACAGACGCACACACACACACGTACACACGCGCACACACACACGCGCACACACGTACACACACACGTACACACACACGTACACACGCGCGCACACACACACGTGTACACCCACGCACACACAGACATGCGCACACAAAGATAAAAAATAAAGATACCCCATATAGCCTTAACAGACTGTAGGGGCTTTTAGCGAGCACCTATGAAGGCCTGAACGGCCCACGAGGGGGTGGGTGGCTAGCACCACGCCCGGCCGCCTTTGTCTCCCCAGTGGCACCGATTTTACACACCGCATTAGGTACTCAGTTGAGGCTGAGTCGACCTAGGGGAGGCCCAGAACCGGTTCATATAATTGTCACTGGTGTTGGCCGTGAGCGGGAATCGAACCCGGATCGCCAGGTTTGTAGCGCAGCGCGCGAATCGCTACGCTACCGCTCCCAACACACGCGCACACACACTGACACACGCGCTGAAAAACCATGCAACCTCCCCCCCACCACGTAGTCCTCGCCCAGATTGCCTCTCCTCCTCCCGCTGCCTCCTCCGCCATCGGCAGCGGGGTCAGCTGCACGACCTCCGGCCCGCGCCACCACGGCGCCTCTACTCTCGGGCGTCCTCCACACCTCTCCTCGCTCTCCCGTCGCCCTGCACTACAGCATCTCACGGGAGCACTCCCCTCATCCTCATCCTCCCCCCTTTCCTCCTCTACAGCAGCAGCAGCACGACTCACAACCTCCTCCTCCTCTACAGCAGCAGCAGCACGACTCACAACCTCCTCCTCCTCCTCTACAGCAGCAGCAGCACGACTCACAACCTCCTCCTCCTCTACAGCAGCAGCAGCAGTACGACTCACTACCTCCTCCTCCTCCTCTACAGCAGCAGCAGCACGACTCACAACCTCCTCCTCTACAGCAGCAGCAGCAGCACGACTCACAACCTCCTCCTCTACAGCAGCAGCAGCAGTACGACTCACTACCTCCTCCTCCTCCTCTACAGCAGCAGCAGCACGACTCACAAACTCCTCCTCTACAGCAGCAGCAGCAGTACGACTCACTACCTCCTCCTCCTCCTCTACAGCAGCAGCAGCACGACTCATAACCTCCTCCTCTACAGCAGCAGCAGCAGCACGACTCACAACCTCCTCCTCCTCCTCTACAACAGCAGCAGCAGCACGACTCACAACCTCCTCCTCCTCTACAGCAGCAGCACGACTCACAACCTCCTCCTCTACAGCAGCAGCAGCACGACTCACAACCTCCTCCTCCTCTACAGCAGCAGCACGACTCACAACCTCCTCCTCCTCTACAGCAGCAGCACGACTCACAACCTCCTCCTCCTCTACAGCAGCAGCACGACTCACAACATCCTCCTCCTCCTCTACAGCAGCAGCAGCAGCAACACGACTCACAACCTCCTCCTCCTCTACAGCAGCAGCACGACTCACACCATCCTCCTCCTCTACAGCAGCAGCACGACTCACAACATCCTCCTCCTCTACAGCAGCAGCAGCAGCAACACGACTCACAACCTCCTCCTCCTCTACGGCAGCAGCAGCACGACTCACAACATCCTCCTCTACAGCAGCAGCAGCAGCACGACTCACAACCTCCTCCTCTACAGCAGCAGCACGACTCACAACCTCCTCCTCTCTACACACCAAGGACCGGGACCACGGCCACTGACGGCCGTCGCATCTCCGTGGCAGCCCCCTTCGTCTGGAACTCAGCCATCGTCATCATCCCATTGCTGCACATTCACAGCAGCAGCAGGAGCAGCCTTCAACCTACAGACTTTTAAGAGACACTTAAAGGCCCCACCTCGTTCTTAAACGCCCCACCTCTTCATATATTCGGCAACGATGTTGTCCGCGAGCGTGAATCTCACCGGGGTGACCGGGTTCGTAGCGCACTGCACTAACCACTGCGCCACCGCTCCACACTCACAATCAACGCCATTCGCTTCTAAGTGGCAGCGACGTCACCACGGCGCTTGTTTCAGGTGAGGGGCACGCTAGGGCCACGTGAAGTGTCGGAGGCTCGCTGTCAAGGAGGTCATGGGACAGACCAAGGTGCCATCCATTGGTTGACTGAGATGACTGGCAGATGCAACCAACACCTGTGCATCTGCCACACAACAGCCTGGCACAGGCGCACGCACGCACGCATGCAGGCAAAGACACACACATGCAGGCAAAGACACACACATGCAGGCAAAGACACACACATGCAGGCAAAGACACACACACACTTGGGTAGCGAGCGAGACGAACAGGCTGCGCCTGATCTCGTCCCTAGAAGGCAAATCTGCGGCTGGCTCACAGCACCTAAACAAAACCCGTGACTTGAGGGGGTGGTTGGGGGGGGTGTGAGAGACCGGTTCGACAGGAACCTTGGGGCAGCTTGACAGGATCTCTGTCTCTCTCCCTCCCTCCCTCCCGTCCATCCCCCCTCCTCTCACTCCCGTTGTTTAGTTTTTTTCAGCACAGGCTGGGGAGAGCCGGAGATGGTCGCGGTGACGGCACACACAAAGATCCCCCGTGTAGCCTTTAGCAGACTATCGGGGCAAGTGCTGGTAAGCGAGCACCTCTGAAGGTCGGCACGGCACACGAGGGGGGCGGGTGGCCAGCACCACGGGCCCGGCCGCCTTTGTCTCCCCCGCGGCGATGTTTACACATCGTTGGGGAGGCCCAGGACCGGTTTAGATAATCGTCACTGGCGTTGGTGGCTGTGAGCGGGAATCGAACCCGGGTCCCTGGGTTCGTAGCGCAGCGCGCTAACCGCTACCACTCCCCCACATGTACACACACGCGCTCCCACTCACTCGCAGTCGTGTGCAGTGTCACGTCAGGTCAAGCATTCATCTTGCCGAGTGTCTAGCGGCGGGGAGGGGTTGCTGCTGCCGCAGCCGCCACCACAGGACACCGAGTTAGACAAACAGCAAACAACACGCACACAACAACAATACCAGCAGTCATTCTTCACTAAGTGGCGGTGACGCCACCACACAGTGCTTGTGCCAGGCAAGGCGCACTCCGGGCCAGACCCAGGTGGCATGGGTTGGCTGAGTGAGACGACTGGCAGATGCACCAGCTCTGTCCGCTCCACTCATTGTTGTGAGCGTCGCTCCTCTGCCCTTTGTTGTTGTTGGAGGGCGACTGCCTCCAAATGCCCAGTAGCATTCTTCATGAGCCTCCTCCATAGAGGCCGACTTTGACACTGCTGGTACCGGTCATCGGCAAGTCCACTCAGCTCCACATCCTCCTGTACCGCATCAGTCCATCTCTTCTGCAGCCCGTACCGTGCCCGTTTAGACAGCCAAACAGAAGCTGTTTGGGCATGCGGTGGCTGAGTTTGCAGGCTACATGACCCAGCCAAAGCAACCATGCCTGCCGGGGCTCATTGAGAATCTCTGATATCTTTAAAAGATTTGCGAGCTTCTCACACAATGCAGCCTGGTTACACCCGGGATGGATCGTAGGCAGGCTCGCCTGAATGTTTCTAACCAGTGCAGATGTTCCATTTGAGGGTTCCATGTTGAGCAAGCATAGAGATGGGAGGGCATGAGTTGGCCAAGAAGACCTGAAGCTTTGTGTGGAGCGACAGACCAGGTATCGTCCACAAAGCGTTACGCAGGCAATGAAAAGATAATGCCACCCGACTGATTCAGAATCAGACCTCTGTTGTCAAACTTGACCTGGTCAAAAGCAGCGCTTAAAGTGGAGAAAAATAAAACACAGCATGTAGTACTGAAGACTCTGTCACATGTGAGACCCTGATTTGAACTGTCTGCGATTGGATGGAATCGGTCACATGTGGGCGCCCTGATTACAGCCGTCTGCGATTGGATGAACTCTGGCCCATTTCTCTCTCGTTCTTAGCGACCATCAGCAACGTGCAGGAAACGAAGTCCCGTTGTGCGAGGCCTCCTCCTCCTCTCCTCCTGCCAGCTTGGGCCGCTGTCACGGCAGACCGGGAGCCGCATGGAGAGTGCGTGCGAGGCTAAGGCGAGACACAAGGCTAAGGAGAGACACGAGGCTCGGGGTTCGAACCCAGCATTGTTCTGATTCGCGGCACCCTAAATGGATTCTAGATTTGAAGCTTTCGTGACTGCAAGGATTCATACTCTCAGGTTTTTTCGGTAAAGTCACGTAGGTAAAAAATAAATAATAAAAATAATATAAATAATAATAGAAATAAATTAATAAATCACGACGTTTCGGAGGCAACACAAGTCTCCGTCATCAGGTGGGACCGTCACGGCTAAAAATTGATACAGTAAATGTAGCTGTGATGGTCCCACCTGATGACGGAGACTTGTGTTGCCTCCAAAACGTCATGATTTATTATTTTATTTCTATTATTATTTCTATTATTTATTTTTATTTTTACCTACGTGACTTTACCGAAAAAACCTGAGAGTATGAACCCTAAATGGAGTTGAGAAATAATAGAAAGGGTCAATTGCAAATTCTTCTCGTGAACAGGAGCATTGTGTTTTTTGGAGGGACCTGTTCAATTGTATGTCGTTGATGTTTAAACCCAATATTGTATATTTACACGAGCAGCCCTCATTGCGAACAAGTGTGGAAAAATCATGCTCAGGCAATGGATTACGCAACGCTCCCCAACGCGGCGGTGAGACGTTCATTACCTCGCCTGCTACGTAGAAGGTTTTGGGTTCGATCCCGGCCCTGACGCCTGTATATTTGGAGTTTGCGTGTTCTCCCCGTGGTCGCGTGGATTTTTCTCTGCGTCCTACGGTTTTGCCCTCCACATAAAAAAAAAAGCATTTATAGTATTTGGCCGCAAAAAATGTCCACGTGATAAGCCACTTTATTGGGCTATCATTTGTGGCCAGGTTGCTTCTGAAAAAGAGCTACATAGCTCAATGGGGCCTTACCTAGTAAAAAAAAAATGTTAATTCGTTTTTAAACTATCGATACGGTAGTCAGTCAGAGCTGTCAGGGAAAACGCGTTTGCACATTTGCACACAGTGCTTCAAGCTCTGGTTCGAGTCTCCAAGTTGTTGGTTATAACGCTTTGGCCAAAGTGGTCCGGCTTCCTCTCGGGCTTGGTGATCAGCAACCCGCAACTCCTCCAAGGACTGCTTCGTGGCCTTGGTTATTAAGGACCGCCGTCTTTTTTTTTTGCGCATTTAAGCTTCTTGTCCTTCCCCCGCACCTCCGGTTAGCACGGCTGGCTATGTACGGTGCGAAAGAAGTTCAGCATACACACACGCACGTACATGCATTGCGGCTCTTGAACTATTTGAGTTGATTTTTTTTTACCGAATTAATATAAAAGTGTCTCCTCTTTGTCAATTTTGGTTGTCGCCGCCAGCTCCAGGGCGAGTCGCAAATAGCAACACGACTTCACTGGGGCGTTTTAATCGGGTTGTGTGGGAGATGTAAAAGAAAATAATTAGTTCTACATTGTTGCTCATGCAAATTGCAGCCCCCGCAATCACTGACACGAGCTGGAAGGCTGCCAGGTGGTGAGAGCCAGCGGCCAGCAACTGCTCTGCAGTCCTCCAAATCTTCACATGTTTTCAGTCAATCGGTGACCGTTTATACGTGTGGGAAGAACCCGGAGCAGCGGAAGACCACCCACGCACGTGAGGGGACAACACTCTATCCCATACGCTCGGGGACAGTCGACAAAAGCCCCTCGCGTAGTCCTCGTGTCTGCTGGCGAGCGGCGATTCACCAACCCTCGCTGCTGCCTCCACAGAGTGCTGCCTTGCAGGCAGCCACGTAGAAGCGTGGCCGCCACCGCCCCGATCATCATCTCTAGGAGCGTTACCATGCCCCCTCCCCGCCGCCCATCCCACCCCCGCCCTGCAATGGCCAGCCCGAGCGAGCTAATGTATAAACCCGTTTAACCCGAGTCGGAAAGTGTTAACCAAACAGTTAATTGCAAGCTCAGAGAACAAACAATGGAACAAAAGTGCTGATGTTTACACACTGCAACCGGGTACACATTTAAGGCTGAGTCGACCTAGGGGAATCCCCAAAGACAAAGATATCACGTATAGCCTTACCAGACTGTCGGGGCAAGTGCTGTTAGCGAGCACCTACAAAGGCCGGCACGGCACACGAGGGGGTGGGTGGCCAGCACCACGCCCGGCCGCGTTTGTCTCCCTAAGCGGCGATGTTTACACACCGCCCCAGGTACTCATTTGAGGCTGAGTCGACCTAGGGGAACCCCAGCACCACTCCGCAGAGCAAGAGGGGGCGCGACCGTACAAATTCCTTCATGAGAAAAGGGGCGCCCTGGTGCCGGGAGTTGAACCCAGGTGTCTGTTGTTGTTGTTGTTGCTGTTGTTGTTGTTGCTGTTGTTGTTGTTGCTGCTGCTGGTAGGGCGCGAGCGTCAGCACAGCGGCGGCCGCCCACCGTGCCTCCCGGGGGGGGGGGGAGCGTCGGTGACATTTACCTTTCATTGCCACATGAGCAGCAGCAGCAGCAACAACAATTCTCCAGTGGTTGCACAATAGGACCACACCTCCACACACACTACGCCACAAACGCACGGCGGAACGCACCCACTAAAGGCACGCACGCGTACGCCACGACGCAATGTGCACACAAAGAAATCCCCCTCGCCACCCGTATGGCCTGTAACAGACTGTTGGGGCAAGCGCTGTTAGCGAGGGCCACCTGTGAAAGCCGGCACGGTACGCGAGGGGGTGGGTGGCCAGCACCACGTCCGGCCTCCTTTGTCTTCCCACGTGGTGATATTTATACCGCACCAGGCACTCATTTGAGGCCGAGTGGACCTAAGAGACGCCCAGGACTGGTTCAGATAATCGTCACTAATGTTGGCCGTGAGAGGGAATCGAACTCGGGCGGCCTGGTTTGTAGCGCGGCGTGCTAACCACTGCACCACCGCTCCCTGTAAACAGCCACACACCTACATACATACATACCCACTTCCAAGAACCGCACACACGCGCCTCCTGCACACATGCACCCACACACACGCAAACACAACTGCTCATGTACCATACAATAACACAGCCGCCAATGTGTGGCAGTGTCATCACGCCACTCGTGCCAGCTGAGGTGCACTTTCAGGCCATGTAAAGTGTGGAAGGTTTCCTGGTGAGAGGACCGGCAGATGCAATACAAACGCTCCCCACTGTAGATTTTAAGTTTTCGTGACTGCAGGAATCCATACTCTTTGGTTCTTTCGGTAAAGTCACGTAGGTATAAAATAGAATAAATTAAATGACGTTTCGGGCGCAATACAAGCAATCGTCATCAGGTTTCTTGCTGTGGTTGTCCCACCTGATGATGGACGCTTGTGTTGCGCCCGAAACGTCGTGATTTTATTTATTTTATACCTACGTGACTTTACCGAAAGAACCAAAGAGTATGCTCCCCAATGCGCCACCTCGCTGCGTTTTAGCCACCCGGCGCACCGCTCGTTGTTGTGAGCGTCGCTCCTCCACCCTCCGTTGTTGCCGGAGGGCGACTGTCTCCAACTTGCCCAGTGGCGTCCTTCACGAGCCTCTTCCAGAGGCCGATATTGACACCGCAAGTCCCGGCTTTCGGCACGTTCATTCGGTTCCATATTCTCCTGTAGCGCATCAGCCACCGCATGCCCAAACAGAAGTAACTTGGGTATGCGGTGGCTCGGCAGGAATGCTGCATGACCCGGACAACGCAGCCTTGCCTACCAGAGTGAACTGATGATGAGACTATGTCCAGATCTTTCAAGAATCTGTGAACTCCTCACATGATCCAGCCTGGTGAAACCCAAGATGGATCGTAGGCAGGCCAAGCTGAATGTTTCAAACCAGCGGAGATGTTCCTTTAAGGGGCTCCTTAAAGGGCATAACCGTACCCAGGAAGACCCGAAGCTTCGTGTGGAGCACCAGGCCAGGAAAGTTTCTGCACAGCAGCGTTACGCATTCCGATGAAATAATAAGCGCGCTCGGTCGATTTAGAGACCTCCGCTGCCTCACTGGAGTTGGGTCATACGCACACCGCCCGGTAAGGAAACCTCCACAACTGCCCCATCGCTCACGATGAGCTCGAATGCGCATGCCACGCCACGCACGGGCGCGCAAACACTCGCACGCACCTGGCTGAAGTCGGGGTCCTTCTCTCCCTGCACGCCCTCGTCCGTTCCTTCCATCACCTCCTCGGGCTCCGAGCCGCTCTGCGCGAGCTCAGGGACGGCCTCCTTCATCACCTGAGAGGAGGCACACAGGAGGTCGCGACATCAGCACGCGGATCGTTACCTTTGTCGTCGCCGCCGCCTGTACGTGCGGCCGGGCAGGGCACACGCGGGTGTAGGGGGGGGTCGGCGCGGCCGTGTGGGCAGCAGCGGTGTCGTACACTGCACGCACTCTGAACACGGCGACCTGAGTTCGATCCCCGGCCGTAACTAACATCAGCTGAACCATTCACGGACCCCCCCCCAAGGCCAGCTTGGCCCACACACGAGTGGATTGTGCGGTGTGCAAACATCAGAACTGGGGAGACAAAGATGGCCAGGCATGGAGCTGGCCACCTAACCCCTCATACGCCGTGTCGGCCTTCATAGGTGCTCGCTAACACAGCAATTGCCCCAAGAGTCTTGTAAGGCTATACGGGGGATCTTTGTGTTGTGTACGCCCGTGCGTGCGTAGTGTAGCGGTTAGCGCGCTGCGCTACGAAATCGGAGACCCGCTCACGGCCAACACTGGTGACGATTATGTGACCTGCTGCTGGGCCTCCCCTAGGTCGACTCTGCTTCTAATGATGTGTACATCTCGATACAGCTATACATAGACACCCGCACATCTGTATAATCACACGGGGTTGTGTGGGGCAGTGTGTGTGGACGCACAGGTGTGTACCTTGAAGTCCTTGACGACTTTGCGCACATACACCGTGGCCTGTGTGTACTCCTGTTGGTCCCGCTGCTGCTGGGAGCGCCGAGCGGCCTGGCACTCTACACACACGCCTGCACACAGACACACACGGCACGTGCGTCACTCACACAGGTCTACACGCACGGTGCAAATACACCCACATACACAGCAATTGCGCGTCACACACGCATACACATAGCGCTGACAGTGTCCGTACCTGGCTGTGTGATGTACGCGCTCGCGACTTCGCTGCTCCCTTCCCCACATGGCCGCCGGGTGATGGTGATGGCGAGGTCCACCTGGAATGAGCGGCGGATCACCTCCCACTCGGGCGGCCACACCAGCGCCAGCCTGCACAGCAAGAGCCACACACCGGGTTACTTACCATGTCCCCACGTCTCAGCCCCGTGTCCCCAGGTCTCTGTGTCTCCGTGTCTGTCACCGTGTCTCCGTATTGTCATGTGCCCATGTCCTCATGCCTCCGTGTCCCCGTGACTCCCATGTGTCCGTGTCCCCGTGTCTCCATGTCCCCATGTCACTGCCCCATATCTCCAGGTCTGTCCGTGTCTCCGTGTCGGACCCTGTGTCTTCGTGTCCCCATGTCTCCAAATCCCCATGTCTCTGCCCCGTGTCCTCATTTCTCTGTGTCTCCGTGTCTGTCTCCGTGTCCTCATGTCACCCGTGTCTCCCATGTCCCGTGACTCACAGTGAGGCATCCTCATGGGAGACAGAGTCGGGGGTGAACATGAGTCCGCTGTGAGGACAGAGCAGCATGGAGTTCCTCACTGAGAACACGGGCGAGGCACGTGTCGGGCGCCTGGGACACGCGCGCGCACAAAGACAAAGATCCCCCGTATAGCCTCAGCAGACTGTTGGGGTAAGTACTGTTCGCGAGTAGCGCCTATGAAGTCCGGCAGAGCGGACCTATGAAAGGGTAAACAACTGTCTACACACCGCACCAGAGTACTCATTTAAAGTCGACCTTGGGAGGCGCAGGACCGACGCAGACAATCGTCACTGGTGGTGGCCATGAGCGGGAATGGACCTCGGGTCGCCGGGTTCGTAGCGCAGTGCCCTAACCACCACTCCTCACCCAGACTCACTCACCTAATGAACTTCCTCCACTCATCCAGGAAGTACTGAGAGACCACGTAAAGCGTTTCCGTGTCCTGCACACACGCGCACATACATAAAAGCACAAACGCACATTTACACACACAACAACCGCCATTCTCCACTAAGTGGCGGTGACGTCACCACGACGCGTGTACACACACACACACACACGCACGTATAGCGAGCCGTGTGAACTCTCAATCTCTGCTGCCCATGCTCTCCAGTGCCATGGTGTGCTGCGCCACGTTTACTCCTGTGTCTCTCCGGGTCTCTCTCTGTCCGTGAATTCCTGTGCCTCCCTATGTAACCCCATTAACCTCGTGTCTCCCCCGCATCTCCCCATGTCTCCCTCCATTGCGCTGCATATCTCCCGATGTCTCTCTCTTTGGTAACTCTGCACATGCCCGTGATTCTCCACATCTGCGTCTCCCCGCTTCTCCTCACGTGTCCCCGCATCTCTTTCTCCCTATATCTCCCTGTATATCCCTGCGTCTCGTGCTATCTCCCCGTGTCTCCCCACATCTCCTTGCGTCTCCTCGCATCTCAACGTGTTACCATTCTCCCCGCGTACCTGAGGCCAGGGCTGCAGCGTCGGCCGCCCCTTGTCCTGGAAGAGCGCGGTGAGCGCCCCCTTCTGCTCCGTGGCGATCATGCGCTGCATCTCCCCCGTCTCTTCCCCCTCCCGCTCCAGCCGCTGTAACCACGGCAACAACCGTCAGTTGCGGTGCGGTTGTGCCGCACCTGGCACTGCGAGCATGGTTGTGCGCCGCCGTGGTGGTCGCGCTGCTAGCGTAGTTGTGCCGTGGTTGTATTGTGGTTGCGTTGTGGTTGTGCCGCACCTGGCACTGTGCGCATGGCTCTGCGGCGCTGTGGAACTCCGGCGCCGAGGGGAAGTAACCGCGCAGTTTGTGCCAAACCTCGGCCGAGACGAGGCGGCGCTCGCCCTCCCGCGTGCTCAACCCTCCTGGTACAAAGGTAAAGACAAAGACCCCCCGTACATCCTTTCATGGGCTGTTGGGGCAAGTTCTGCTCGTGAGCAGCACCTATGAAGGCCGGCAAGGCACACGAGGTGGGGTGAAGTCTGGCCAGCACCACGCCCGGTCGCCTTTGTCGCACCATTGTCGATGTTTCCACACCACACCCGGTACACGTTTAAGGCTGAGTAGACCTAGGGGAGGCCCAGGACCGGTTCAAATAATCGTCACTGTCATTGGTAGAGAGCGAGAATCGAACTCGGACTGTCGGGTTCATAGCACAATGCGCCAACTGCAACACTCCCCATGTGTGCCTGGGTGTGTGTGTACACAGACACACACGAGTACATACACATAGGAATAATACAAAGACAAAGATCCCCTATATAGCCTTTTAACAGACTGTTAGAGCAAGTGCTGTTAGCGAGCACCTATGGAGGCCGGCATGTTACACGAGGAGGTGGGTGGCCAGCACCACGCCCGACCGTTTTTGTCTCCCCAGCAGCGATGTTCTCTACACACCGCACCAGGTACTCATTTGAGGCTGAGTCGACCTACGGGAGGCCCAGGACCAGTTCAGATAATTATCACTGGCGTTGACCGTGAGCGGGAATCGAACTCGGGTCGCCGGGTTCGTAGCGCAACGCGCCGCTAACCGTTGCACGACCGCTCCCCGCAGAGCACATGTACCTTCAAGGGGCTCCACGTGTCGCAAGCATAGACACTCGTGCACACAGACACGCGCACACGAGAACACACGCGCACGGCATCACACGCACGCACAGACACATTGAGGTGGGGACGAGCGGCTGGGACTGCCCGGAGCGTCCACCCTCACCGTGTGGACACAGGACCTCGTCGTTGAATCCACCGTCCTCTTCCGCGGACGACCGGGCCGTCCTCGCGCCTGCGGGAACTGGGGGAGGAGGGGGGGGGGGAGGTGGGTGTCGGAATGGGGGGGGGGGGTCAAGATGGTACAAGCCATGAATAGGGCCCCCACCCTGTCCAGGTTTCCTCCCCATATTATTGATAATTGATGACGATCGTTTACCCGGGAAAGCCTCACCGAGTCTCAATACTCTTTTCCAGGAGGGTCCTGCCAAGTTTTCGCAGAAGCTGGGGGTGGTGGTGGAGGGGTGGGTGACGATGTTGACATGCGTAATCCGAATTTGCCGGTGCTTTGTCAGCAGTAGGAAGAGGTTTTTTGGGTTCGATCGCGTAAATATGAATGTCTATAAACCCGCCACCACCCAACACAGAACATGCCAACGTTTACGTGACAAACCTTACTGACTGGCTGTCGGGTAGTGGCGGGTTTAACGACACATTGATATTTACGCGATCTAACTCAAAAGACCTCTATTGTGGATAATATTTGTCGTAAAAGCCCCACCACATCGTGTTAAACTGGGAAGTTGTTTGGGCCGTTATCGGTTACAACTTATGGCGTTCACTTGGGCTATGGGAGGAAACCAGCAGAGGAATCCCATGCAGAACAAGAGGAGGGAGATACGAACTCCGCAAGTAAAGGCGTCCCGAGTCGTGAATCGGACTCAGGACCCGCCCGCTGCGATGCGCGATTGTCACATTTATTTTGCCGAACCAGGTTGAGAACTCAAGAGACAAGGAACGGAGTCTCATTTGTAACAGCGGCCAGGGCCACCATAATGACAAAGGCAAAACGAACCAGGTAAAGGTTCGACAAATGAAGCAAATACAAATCGGAGCAGGAACAACCACGTGGACGCGTGAGAAATAGAAATATCGCGCAGACGTAAATCGACGTTGAATTACAATTAATGTACCGTCTCAGGCTACTTTGAGACCGATCGTACAAACATTGATTTGGCGATTTTGCGTTGGCGGTGGTTGCGCGAGCACAAATAACAAAAACCAAGTCAACACATTCGTCAATAACAACACAGGGTGTGTGTGTGTGTGGTCTGAAGGCAGTGTTCTTCACTCATTTTCAGAGGGGGGGGGGAGGCACTTTCGCCGATAAGACATCACTGGTGCGAGAGCCGCCACGCACATTATTTGAAACCGTTGGGGTTTGACAGCAGCACGATGATTGATGGGGGGGTGTTTTCACTCTTTGTGTATTGTTGGGGGGGGAGGGGGCGCACTGTCAGGAGCCACACTAAAGGCCACCAGGGGCCTTGCAATGAAGGACACTGGATAGCAATGAAGGGCACTGGGTAAAAACGATTCGGGGCAACGGCCGTTCTTCCCAGTGCATACAGAGGCCAGAGAGGTACAGCCGACAACACAATTATGAAACTAGGTTACCGAAGCATTAAACAAACAGTACACGGGGTGACCGATGTACTGTGTAAATACTAAAATATAAACGGACGAGGATATACGTCACATGCAAGCGATGTTACCATGGAGGTAAGCGTTACCGCCGCCCGTGGCCGCGAGTGGCCATGTCCGTGGCGATGGGTGGGGCGACGCTCACCGCTCTCCGCCGGCTCCGGCTCCGCCTCGTCGCTGCTCCGCTCCCCGCCCCCGTTGCTCGGCTTGGACTCCTCCTCCTTGTCCTCGAACTGACCAATCACGAGCAGCCGCCAGCTCCGCAGGGACACCTTGCCCACCCAGAATGCCTCGCTGCGCGCCAGGAGCAATCGGACACGTGCGCGCAAACGCACGATCGCACAAATCGCTCGTATGGCCCTGAAACTTCGATCGCACAACCGTAACACCCGCTGCGAGAACACACACATTCCCGTGTGTATACTACACGTACAATCCATGTTTAAACACACGCAATGTACACACACTCTGAGAATACACGGACAGACACTGATTTCAATCTAGATTGAAAACTCATTTCTTTAAGAACTGCTTTTTGTGTTTAGTTTATTGTCCTTCCTCCGCACTTCCGATTAGCACGGTTGGCTACGTACGGTGCGAAAGAAATTCAATATACACACAGAGTACACACACCCACCATAAACTGAGTAAACAAATACACTCGCCTTCCACTGGTATACCGAGGGTACGTAAGTGCGCGCAGGTATGCGGCGTGCGTGTGCACGCACGAACGGGCACGCAGAGGCGGGCACGCACCCGGGAGGCAGGGAGCTCTTGAGAAGGGTGCTGACGGTGCGGTAGTCGTCGCTGAGTCGGCTCTTGAGCTGCAGCACCCGGCAGCGCTCCACCACACAGTCGCGGCACAGCGACGCTTCTGGTGCGGCACACACGGTGCGCACGGTAACACAAGAAGACACACGGATATACACAGTAACACGCGTGTACATGTGGGGACATGCACGGATACCAACGGTAAACACAAGGCTTGCACAGGAACACAAGGGGACACAGGCGTTATACAGAGTAGCGCACAGGTACAAGACAAAGATCACCACGTAGCGTCTTAACAGCCTGTAGGAGCAAGTGCTGTTGTTAAACGAGCGCCTATGAAGGCCGACACGGCACAAAAGAGGGTGGGTGGCCAGCACCACGCCCGGCCGGCCTTTGTCTTACACACCGCACCAGGTATTCATTTAAGGCCGAGTCGACCTCGGGGAGGCCCATGACCGATTCAGATAATCGTCACTGGTGTTGGTCGTGAGCGGGAATTGAACTCGGGTCACCGGGTTCATAGGGCAGCTGCACTATCGGCACAGGTACAAAGCCAAAGATCCCCCAGTATAGCCTTAACCGACTGTTGGGGCAAGTGCTGTTAGCGAGCACCTACGAGGCACAGGTACACACACGGACACATACGCATGCCCGCGTGCGCACGTGCGCGTACCAGTGAGTCGCGGGCCGCCCCCGTACTTGTGGTACAGGGCGTTGGCGGCGCCACGGCTGATCCTCTTGACGCTGCCCACGTGGTGCGGCGAGAGGGCGCCGTGCGTGCACACGAACGCGGCGTTGTCGAGCGCACGCACGCACGCGCTGTCCGTCAGCCACTGCCGCAGCCACGCCGTCCCCACAAACTCAAACTCGCTCGCTGCATGCGGGGGGGGGGGGGGGGCACGGTGTGGGGGGGCACGGGGGGGGGGGGGGCGACAGAAGGGGATGTGGGCGCACAGGGGAAACCATGGGGACGCAATGTGGAGCATTAGTTGGGCGGTGGGGTGTAGTGGTGTGTAGTGGTGTATGCGTAGCGGCGTATTGTTTGCCGTGGTGAGGTGGTGTGTAATGGTGTTGTGTAGTGGTGTTGGCGTTGAGTGGTGTATTGGGAGCGGTGGCGCAGCGCGCTACGAACCCGGGTGACCCGAGTTCGAATCCTGCTAAATGGCCAACACCAGTGACGGATTCTCCGAACCAGTCCTGGGCCTCCCCCGAGGTCGACTGGGGCTCAATGAGTGCCTGGTGCGGTGTGTAAACAGCGCCACCAGGGAGACAAAGGCGGCCAGGCGTGGTGCCTTCAAAGGTGCTACTCGCTCACAGCACTTGCTCAAAAAGTCTATTATGGCGATACGGGAATCTTTTAAAAGTGTAAGTGTAGCGGTGCGTCTTGTGCAGCGGTGTAGTGGTGTGTAGTGGTGTGTAGTGGTGTGTTGTGGTGTGTAGTAGTGTGTTGTGTTGGTATGTTGGTGTATAGTGTTGGTCATGGTGCAGCAGGGTGTAGTGGTGTAGCGGTGTGTTAGTAGTGCAACGGGGTGTAGTGGTGTAATGGTGTAGCGGCATAGTGGGGTGGTAGTGGTGTAGTGGTGTAGCGGGGTGTAGTGGGGCATAGTGGTGTAGTGCTGTAGTGGTGTAGCGGGGTGGAGCGGGGTGCCGAGTTGCCGGGCGAGGTCACCCTCCGGGCCTCACCGTTGTCCGCCGGCAGCAGGGCGTAGAGGCTGCGCACCTCCGAGTGTTTGGCGCGACCCTCGGCAATGCTCTGCTGCCGCATGGCGCTCATTTCCTCGCACCACTCCTCAAACGCGCGGTTGTCTGCCCGCACCTTTTCCGCCAGCCACTCTGACGCGGAGACACAAGCAACCCCCCCCCACCACCACCAACGTGCAGCCGTACGGGCAGATGAGCGTCAGAGCCAGCGAGAGCCAGCGTGCACGAGTGAGTGTGCGACCGTGTAAGCGTGCGTACGCCAATGAGTGTGAGACCGAGTGTGTGAGCGTGAGCGAGTGTGTGCGAGTGAGTGTGCGAGTGAGTGTGTGAGCGTGAGCGAGTGTGTGCGAGTGAGTGTGCGACCGTGTGCGTGAGAGTGTGTAAGCGTGCGTGCGCCAATGAGTGTGAGACAGAGTGTGTGAGCCTGAGCGAGTTTACGAGTGTGTGAGCGTGAGCGAGTGTGTGCGAGTGAGTGTGTGAGCGTGAGCGAGTGTGTGCGAGTGAGCGAGTGAATTTATGAGCGAGTGAGCGAGCGAGAGTGAGTTCACACCGGGCAGCGTGGTGTCCTGTGCGGTGGGCGTGGGCTCTCCGCGCACGGTGTACACCAGCGAGTACGCGTTGCGCGATGAGTGAACACCGCGCATGCACTTGGGTCTCCGCCCCACCGAGCGAGACGGCTCTGTGGGGCGGGGGAACGGGAGGGCGGACAGGCAACCACGTCACACCCACGTCAGGGGTGGACTTTCCACGTTCCCCTGGCGGGGCCCAGTTGAACCACTCTCTTGGATAATAATCGTCGTCGTCTTTCTTCGCAAACCGTGGAACATTTCCCGACTCCATGCCCGAAGCAGGAATACGAGATACGGGGGAGGCAACATCACAGCGATGGACTCCGCTACCCACGACGCCATTATCTGGTCCTTTAACATCAGCCATACAAACAGGATCATCACCGTCATCACCGTCATCAGTGGCAGCAGCACACTGCTGCAGGATAAAAGGCAGTCCCACCCGCCCCACCATGCCTGCTCCGTTGAATCTATATGGTCAACGCTCACACACTTGCTATACTGCCATCTCCTAGCCCACCCCTAGGGCCTGCATACGACGGCCCCGTGCACTGACAAAGTTCTCGGCCTCTGAAGTGCCGAATTTGCAGAGGGCGCTTCGTCATGAGGGCGCTCTCGGTCGAGTTTCCGGGTTGTGCCGTTGGCGTTGTTTTGCTGGGAGCTCCTGTATCAGCCCTCTCCCCCACCACCCGCCGAAACGTCGGACATCGTGCCAAACCAGCAAGCGCAACCGTAAACTATACCAAAGGCAAAAATCCACCTCCTATAGCCTTGGGGCAAGGGCTGTTCACGAGCAGCACCTATGAAGGCGACACGGCACACGAGGGGGTGGGTGGCCAACATCACGCCCGGCCGCCTTTGTCTCCCCAGTGCCAATGTTTACACACCGTGCCAGGCACTCACACACACACAAAAAGACAAAAATCCCCCGTATAGCCTTAACAGACTGTAAGGGCAAGTGCTGTTAGCGAGCACTTATGAAGGCCAGAACGGTACACGAGGGGGTGGGTGGCCAGCACCACTCCCGACCGCCTTTGTCTCCCCAGTGGCGATGTTTACACACCGCACCAGTTACTCATTTGAGGCTGGGTTAATCTAGGGGAGGCCCAGGACCAGTTCAGATAATCGTCACTGGTGTTGGCCGTGAGCGGGAATCGAACCCGGGTCGCCAGGTTCATAGCGCAGCGCGCTAACCGCTGCACCACCGCTCCCCACTACATGCACGGCAGGGTCCTGGAGCCGCCGGGGTCCTCGGGGTCCTACGGAAAGGGGCGGGGAGGGGGGGGTCACCTACCGAGGTCGTCCTCGGCGCCCAGCAGCAGGTGCCTGCCTTCGACGCGCTCGATCTCGTCGTCGTTGAACTTGTGCCACTCGCCCGTGCGCGCGTCGCGGATGTGTGCGATGTAGTGGCCCGAGTAGGCGCTCACCCCGCGGTGGATGAGCACCGCGCTCAGCTCGTACTCACCCTCGCCGCCTGGGCACGAGGGTCCACACGCGGTGGGAGACAGCGCGGCCGTGAGGGTGGCCCGGTGGAGCAGGGTGCGTGCGTGCGTGCGTGCGTCCGCGGGGAGCGGCAGTGTGGCCGTTAGCGCGCTGCTCCACGAACCCGGCAACCACGGCCACCAACGCCTGCGACGATTATCTGAACCGGTCCTGGGCATCCCCTAGGTCAACCCAGCCTTAAATCAGTACCTGGCGCAATGTGATGCTGGCCACGCACCCCCTCGTGTGCCGTGCCGGCCTTCATAGGTGCTGCTCGCAAACAGCACTTGCCCCAACGGTCGGTTAAGGCTGCACGGTGGATATCTGTCTTTGTTATTGTGTGGAGGCTCATGATCGACGCCACTGGGTAGTCGGAGGCAGTCGCTCTACGGCAAGGGCAGAGGAGTGACGCTCACAACAACGAGCGGAGCGCCGGGAGGATAAAATGCAGCAAGTTGGCACAGCAGGGGGTACAGCTGGTGGACCTGCCAGTCATCTCAGTCGATCTCAGTCGGTCAACCCATGACACCTGGACCTGTCCCATGACCTCCTGCCAGCAGCGGGAGCCTTCCACACTTCACGCGAGCGAAAAGTGCACCTAGCCTGGCACAAGCGCTGTGGTCACACGACTGTCAATTAATGGCGAATGCCGGCTGTTGTTTTTTGTGTGTGTGTGTGTCGGGGGCCTCCTCACTGCCATGCTGCAGGTATGGCCTCATGTCCAGCGTCTCCGGGAAGCTCAGGTACGAGTTGAGCTTCTTCTTGTGCCCGGTTTGCCTGCACAAAGACAAAGATCCCCCGTATAGCCTGTAACAGTCGATTGGGGCAAGTGCTGTTAGCGAGCACCTATAAAGGCCGACATGGCACACGAGGGGCTGGGTAGCCAACACCACGCCCGGCCGCCTTTGTCTCCCCAGTCGACCTAGCGGAGACCCAGGACCGGTTCAGATAATCGTCACTGGTGTTGGCCGTGCGTGGGAATCGAACTCGGGTCACCGGGTTCGTAGCGCAGCGCGCTAACCGCTACACTGTGCGCGTCCGTGCCTGCTCACACACACAGCCACCCATGAACACACGCTCTGGCACGAGCAGTCGCGTGCAGATGTGCCAGCCCGTGTACAGGTGTGGACATGCACCGGTGATGGTCACCCACCCCCCTCGTGTGCTCGCTAAGAGCACTTGTCCCCAACTGTGCGTTCAAGCTATTCGGGGGATCTTCGTGTGGTCACGTGCGTGTGTCCGTGGCGTGTGTACGCAGGTTGGCGAGCGCCGCCGTGTGCGATGCCAGTTGAGTCACTTGCGGTGTGATGTTTCAGCACTGGGATGTTTTGGCAGGAACCAGTTCCACTAAGTCTTTTTTTTAGCTCAGGGAGGAAATCGGAGATCCCGTAGGAAACCCACATAGAGGAGGAGAGAACTTACAAACTCCGCAACAGTGTGACCATTGCGCAACCCTGCGGTGTGCCCCAGGTGTGCTGCAGTGTGCCCAGGGTGCCCAGGTGTGTCCAGGTGAGCCCAGGTGCGCTGCCGTGAGTCCAGGTCTGCTGCAGTGTGCCCAGGTGTGCCCAGGTGTGCTGCAGTGTGCCCAGGTGTACCCAGGTGTGTCCAGGTGTGTCAGTGTGTGCCCAGGTGTGCCCAGGTGTGCCCAGGTGTCCCCATGTGTGCCCAGGTGTGCCCATGTGTGCCCAGGTGTGCAGTGTGTGCCCATGTGTGACCATGTGTGCCCAGGTGTGAGCGCGTGTGGGGGAGAGCGCACCGGTCGAACACAAAGCGCAGGAGCTGCAGGTTGAGGGTGCGGGGAAGGCCGAGGAGCTGAATGCGGCGCGACGCCGTCTGCTTCACCTGGCAGCGGCCGCACAGGTAGCGGTTCTCTCCCTCCAGCTTCTCCTCCTGCACCCCACGCGACACACCACGGCACGATGCCCAGCACGCTTGGCATGGCCCACCGTGTCCAACGCTGCAGCCCAGTGCTACGTCACTGATGATGCGCCATCACGCCGCAGCATCATCAGTGCGTCGCTCCGCACGTGACGATAGATTCTCTCACGCAGACGTACGCCGCACCCGCACGCAGACAAAGACGAAGATCCCCTGCCCCCGTCTAGCCTCAACAGACTTTTGGGCAAGTGCTGCACAGTACACAAGGGAGTGGGTGGCCAGGAAGGTGATGTTCTACGCACCGCAACAGGTACGCAAGTGAGGACCAGTCGACATACACTCATCACCGATGATGGCCGCGAGTGGGAATCGAACTCGGGTTGCCGGGTTCGTAGTACAGCGCGCTTACCGCTGCGTGACTGCCCCTACACACTCTCACAAAGACGAAGATCCCCCGTATAGCCTTTAACACACTGTTGGGGCAAGTGCTGTTAGCCAGCACCTCTGAAAGCCAGAACGGTACAGGAGGGGGTGGGTAGCCAGCACCACACCCAGTCGTCTTTATCTCCCCAAAAGCGATGTTTACATAAAGCACCAGGTACTCATTTGAGGCTGAGTCTACTTAGGGGAGGAAGCCAAGCCCAGGACTGGTTAAAACATTCTCCACTGTTATTGGTCGTGAGCAGGAATTTAATTCGGGTCGCCAGGTTCGTAGTGCAGCACGCTAATCGCTACACTCTCACCACCCCGCAAACGCACTCTGACACACACTGACACACACGCAGATAGGCTCACAGCGGCTGCACCAAAGTTCCCCAGTATAGCCTTAACAGACTGTTGGGGCAAGTGCTGTTAGCGAGCACATATGAAGGCTGGCACGGAACTAGAATTGGTGAGGTGGCCAGTACCACGCCCGGCCGCCTTTGTCTCCCTAGTGGCAATGTTTACACACACGCACACAGATAGCAAACACACAGATAGAGAAACACCGCCGCACACCTTGAGGAACTCATCAAGGCAGTCCGTCAGCTGTTTGTGACCCTGGATGTTGAGGTCGAGCTCCAGGAACCGCGCCGGGCGCCTCGACTCGTGCCCACACGCACCGCACCTGGCACCGCACGCAAGGACACACGCGCACACACGCGCACACACGCGCACTTCAATTCAACTTTGAAAGGGCTGTTTGTTACTGGCTGTTTGACGTTTTGAACATTTTGGCCTTCGGAACTTGCATGGCGACGTACGAAACCCGCACGGAGACGTACGGAACCCGCACGGCGACGTGGTGACGTACGTAACTCTCGTGCTGACGTACGCAACTCACGTGGTGACGTACGCGTACTGCCCGCAGAACTCGCTCTGCACCAGGTCGCGCACGCGGGAGTCGCGCTGCCGGCTCAGAGCGTCCTCCAGCAGCGCCATGAGCAGCTTCGAGAACTCCTGCGCATCCTGGGGTGGAAACGGGGGGAGGGGGGGGGGGCAGGGAGAGGTGAGGTGACGCGTCTGGAGGTCAGGCGTTGGCTTGGTGCCGCTGTGAAGCGGGCTGTGTCGTGTGCCGTGCGGTGGCCTCGCTATCGAGCGTGCAGGGCCTTGCGACTGCACCGGTGGCCCACACGGTCCAAGCGGGGGATGGGGGGAGCTTAGGTGCAAGTAGGACCAATTGGGACAAGCGGGGTGGGGGGAGAGCCCCCCCCACCCCTCTTTGCATTCTTGGCACCAAGGCCCAAGCCAACCAACCACGCTCTGCCTTGTTCTCTGCGCCGTGTGCTGGGCACCGGCGCCGTGCTCTGTCTGCTGCGCTGCATGTGGCTCTGCTCCGTGCGCGTCAAGGGCCCCCCCCCACCTGCTGCTGGGCGGTGTCGAGTCCGAGGGCACGGATGAAGGGCGAGGGGTCGAGGTAGCGGCGCTCGCTCTCCTGCAGCAGCGCAAAGAGAAGCTGCAGGTGCTCGCACACGCCGCCCTGCTCCCCTCCTGCACGCACGCACGCACACGGGCACAAAGGTGCCCCGGTTACCCTGAGCAGCCTATCGGGGCAAGTGCTGTTAGCGAGTAGCACCTATCAAAGGCTGGCAAGGCACGTGAGGTGGTGGGAGGCTAACACCACCATGCCTGACCGCCTTTGCCTCCAAAGTGGCGATGTTTAGGCATAGCAGCAGGGACTCGTGTGAGGCTGAGTCGACCAAGGTGAATGTTTGGCTATTGCCAGTTACATCATTGTATAGTTTCGTTTTTCTTTACTATAGGAAGACAACAGAGCACCCAGAGGAAACCCATGTAGAACAGAGCAGAACATCTAAACGCCACTCAGAAAGGCATCCGGGTCAGGAATCGAACCCAAGTGCTTCTTGTTGCGAGGCTGGAGTGTCACCACTCCGCCACCGCCCTTCAATCTCATACACACACTGCACACTCGTGTTGTACAAATACAAAGATCCCCCGTATAGCCTTAACAGACTGTTGGGGAAAGTGCTGTTTGCGAGGACCTATGAAGGCCGGCACAGCACACGAGGGGGTGGGTGGTCAGCACCACGCCAGGCCGCCTTTGTCTCCCCAGTGGCGATGTTCACTACACGCTGCACCTCGACCTCGGGCAGGCCAATAAGTGGATCAAATAATCGTCACTGGTGTTGGACGTGAATCGAGTTCGGGTGGCCGGGTTCATAGCACAGCGTGCTAACCCCAATGCTACCGCTCCCCATGCATACAAGTGTAGTGGCATCGCGGGATGTCACTGTGCAGTGCCAGCCTATAGGGGCATGGCGTGCGGTGTAGCGACATCGTGGACACCACAGCGATGTGTGGGTGTAGTACCGGCCCTAGAGGGGATCGGTGAGCGCTGATGGATAGCGCTGGGTGGCACCACGCTTGGCGTGTAGTGCCAGCCCTACAGGATAGGGTGTGGAAGTGCTGGCCGTAGAAATTAGGTTACTAAAGGCCATGGCACTCTGGTTGACCCCAGAGGGCACGTGACCAGTTAAGTCTACAAAGGTGCCCAAGTGGGGGCTAGGAATGGTCACGTGGTTAGCATCCAGATCCTTCCCGAGGATTCTGGAAGGTGGTCGTGGCCAAGGGCGGAGCCAGCCACGCCACAGAGGATATAAGCCGGGTCCCCAGTGGGACCGGCGTTGTTGTTCATCCTGAAGAAACCTTCGTCTACGTTCTAGCGAGTCTCCAACACGTGGATCTGGACCCGAGCTGTGGTCCCGGTCCATTGTAGCTAGTTACACTGTAACTAGTGTAGTTAGCCTGGTGTGTTGTATTTGAATAAATGTGTTGCCTCCACGTCTACGTCTGAACTCACTACACATTCATACAGTTGCTCACCCACTCAGATACAACTAAGGTTGAAAGCGCCGATGCGTTAGTCCGTCCATCTGTAGCGTGGCGTCATGATAACTCTCGCCGAGTTGATCCGATACGAACAAAACTCTCGTGTCAAGTCTCACTGCTATTCGAGACTCAGCGTGGAGGAAACCGGTACATTTAATCAGAGCATTATCACCCAAAATTTTGGGGTGACAAAGCAGAGCTAAAATTACTTCTTGCCAACAAGCAAATAAATGTAACCCTGACAGCTCCCGAGCTGCTCGTTAAATACCTCCGTGGACGAACAAATGTTGCGAGGTTTTTACGTAATGCATGCGCGTATGCATGATTTTTCTCCAACGTAGTTTTCTGAGCAAAGGAGCACTCAGGCCAGGACTCAAAGACTGGGTTCGTACCTACAAGAGTCGGGTTTACCACTCACTCATACAGCCACAGGCGTCGACTACTCAGAGAGACACGCGTGTCCACCACTTACTCGTACAGCCACAGGTGTCCACCGCTCAAACTGCTGTCACCTGCCGGGTTGCTGGAGTCTGTGGCGCCTTGGGGCATCGTGGAGGCGGAGGAAGTGATTGTCGTCCTGTCGGTGGTTTCACTCTCCGTAGTCACCCCATCCTTGGTGGTGATGCTGGTGGCGGCGGCGGCGGTGGTGATGGAGCAGGAGGTAGTCGTCCCCGCGTGGGTGGAGGGGGAGTCTGGGCGGTAGAGGTAGAGCAGCTGGCGGAAGCGGTGGTTGTGGAACCACACCTGCAGGAAAGTGTTCACGTAGCACGTCGCCCCCAGGTTCTTGAGCCCCACGAACGAGTTCTGTTGGGGTGGTGGACAATTGCAAGGGGGGAAGAGGTGGGGGGTGGATGATCAACTATTGTCTTGGCAAGCACGCAGGAGGTGCTCTGGAGAGATGGAGATGAGTGGATGTAACTTGGGTGTGAGCTGTGGACGCAGGGAGTGGTAGACTCGGAAGGCATATGGGGAGTGGAGGATATGAGGAGTGTTGGATACAGGTAAGCAGGGAACTCAGGTACATGGTGGACATGAGGTGGGCACGGGGAGCGGCGGCACGGGGAGCGGCATGCACGGAGTGATAAACACAGCAAGCGGTGGACACAGGAAGCGGTGGACAGAGGGAGCAGTGGATACAGGGAGCAGTGGATATAGGGACACAGGGAGCGGTGGACACGGGGAGTGGTGAACACGGGGAGCAGTGGGCACGGGGGGTAGCGGCGGGCACGGGGAGCAGTGGATACAGGGACACAGAGAGCGGTGGACACGGAGGCTGCGCGACTCAGGAGGTGGGCACCTTGGCACGGCGTTCCGTATCTGGATCGTCCACCTGGTGGAAGGCCTCCTCATTGAGGTCGCCCAGCCACGCTTGCTCGCCCAGCCCCACCAGGCAGTTGGGGTTCCCCTTGCAGTTCCTCCTGTGCAGAGGGCGTCCCACAGGGTTACACGAGTCAGGGCACTGGAGTAGTGGGCACGGTTTGGAGACGTCTGGAAGGGGATTCTATTTCGGGGTCCACGCAACAGTGGGACCCTCCGGGAAGTCGCCGCAACCCTCCGGGAAAGTTCAGCGAACCGTGGGAAGCGAGCGTCATCCCAAATCACCACGAGGACCTCAGCAGCGTCCCTCACCACCACCACCACCGCCGCCGCCGCCACCGCTTGAAATCGCGTAGCAAGCCCTGCAGATCCACTCGCGTAACCTTCAACAATGCAACTTCGACCCTGATGATTCAATGCAGCTTGGAGAGCCCAACGGAGATCAAACCCCTCGTGGGACGACGAGGCCACGACCCAAACCCGCATCCGCTGCACAGACCATGGCAGCAGATTGTGGATACTTGACGCACAAAGTGTAAATTTAAAGACTCCGGCATTAGGGGTCCCTGTATTAAGAGTAAGGGGTCAGACTTAGTATTGGGTGACTCTGTGTTAGGGGTTCCTAACTTAAAGCTATGGTTGGGAGTAATGTATTGTAGTATTAAAGGTCCCAGTATATGGGTCCCAGGGATACGAAATGTGGGTTAAGGGGGTTAGAAAAGGGGTCTCTGCACGGGGGGTACCTGGGCTAAAGAGCAAGCGGGAGGATACATCATTAGAGGTCCACATGTTTTGATTTAGGGAATCGTGAGGCGATACATGAACAGTCGGATTCGGAGTTACTGTATCGGAGTTAAGGGGGTCGGGGCGTTGCAATGGGATTAGGGGTTCCTGTTACCTGGGTTTGGGGGATAGGGCTCGCACTGGGGGTCTCTGGGTTTATCAATGGGATTCGGGGTTACTGTATCGGAGTTAAGAGGGTCGGGCTTTGCAATGGGATTAGGGGTTCCTGTTACCTGGGTTCGGGGGATAGGGCTCGCACTGGGGGTCTTTGGGTGTATCAATAGGATTCGGGGTTACTGTATCGGAGTTTGTGGATAGGGCTCGCATTAGTGGAGGAGTGGGGGGGGGGGGTCGGGAGTTAGCAATAGGATTAGGGGTCCCCGTATTGGGATTAGAGGAGGGCTATGGCACTGGGATAAAGCTGAGCGAGGGGATAGGGGATGGGGGGGGAGGGTGGTTACGAGGGGATCATCGCGAGAAGTCCCCGGGTCACAGTGGGGGGGGGATGGGTTAACCATCGGTGAGGGGACAGCCCTTAGCGGAGGCCTCTCCTCACCGGGGGCCGCCCGAGGCGCAGGGCGGCAGCGCGAGGCGGTAGGCGAGGTGCAGGTGCGCGGGCCCCACGGCCTCGGGCCCCACGCCCGCGGCCCAGGCCCAGCCGCGGTCGCCCGCGGTGCCGCGGGAGGCCCGCGCCTTAGGCCCCATCGCTCGCTGGGGCCGCCGTCGATTCGCGACTCTCGTTTAATGATTCCGAACCGATTCGACTCGATGCCCGTCGAGGGATGCACGTGGATGTGGGAGGTGGGGGGGGGGAATCGGAAGGAGGAATCGGATGTCGATTCGGGTCGGGTTTGTGGGTTGTAACGCACGGGATGAATCGAATGAAGTCGTTTGTCGTGACGGTGAATCGATTCCTCTGATGTGGTCGTGTGGGGTCGTTCCTGCCACTTGAGTTTGTCGAAACGATTTGTAACAGATTCTGAGCCATAGTTCGATTTATACATCGATTTGTTGCAACTGCTGTGGGGAGAGGGGGGGGGGGTGTCGATATCTGATCTGTATAGCAGTCAACTCATGCGGTTGAGCCGTATTCTTGCACAGGGAAATTGAGTAACTTTTTTGTGTTTGTGTTTCTCCCTCGTGATGGAACTTTGTAGGATGAACGTTGAGATTTGTAAAGGGGCATCACGGGGTGACCACTAAGGGGTGAATTGGTCTGTAATCAGGTAGGGCACTGATAAGCTATCCATTTAAAAGGCCATTGCAATGGGCGCTCGTCGATTCGTGATTCGATGGATATCGCCAAAGTTATTGCATTCCGTCTCAGCTCAGGTTCAAAAACGATTCGATCGAAAGTTAAAGTCTGGAGGGGAATTCGCCGAATGCACTGAATCCCATGCGTAATCGATTCGAGATGCCAACGCCTGTACGGAGCGTGCACGCGTGCATCATGAATCTAGTGCGGGCCCTGTAGCGTATGTGAAAAAGGGTCCCTAATTAAATAAAAACAATGATTAAAACACACGTGTTTTATTTTTCTATTTAAAGCTTTCGTGGCTACAGGGATTCATATTATTGGTCACGTAGAAGGGAAATAATAAAAAATAATAAAGTCATTTTTTATTTTGTATTTTATTGTTTCCTTTTTATTATTTTATTATTTCCATTCCATGTGACTTTACCGAAAGAACCAAGAATACACATGTTTTACTTGCATAGTAAAGTAATAGTATTTTTTCATTTGGGGCCGTCCATAAATGACATCACGCAGACATTTGTGACGATGGGGGTGGGGGGTTTGAGAAATGTGACGTCACATCAAAATGCGCAACTTTAAATAAATATAGACAACACGTTTTGATTAATTAAATAGACTTTTAAGTACATGTTTTTTCCTACAATATCAGAGTGCAGCGCCACATTAAATACGCACTACAATGACAATAGTTTAAAGCGATTTGAAGCATGTTTTATAAAAAAAAAATGGGGGGGGGGGGGGGGCAGAGCTTTGTGACGTCACATTTGAGGGGGGTCTGACTTTTTGTGACGCCGTGTGACGAGGGGGGGGGGTCAAAAATCGTCCAAAATCGCGTGACGTCATTTATGGACGGCCCCCGACCTGCCCCTCCGCCATACCAGACGAGGGACTGTCCACCACCATTAATTGCAGGCAGATAAATGTTGAATTTCTTTTGCACCATACGTTGCCAATCGTGCTTTATTGGAGCTGTGTGGCGGGAAGGACAACAAACGAAACACAAAAAAACATTTCTTAATGAGTTTTTTTTATGTGGATGATTTAAAATGGTATGTAGCTCCAGTGGCTTCCTATTACGGGAAGAGCGAACTGGATTTCCATGGTGAACTGGATTTCCATGGTAAACTGGACTTCCATGGTGAACTGGACTTCCATGGTAAACTGGACTTCCATGGTAAACTGGACTTCCATGGTGAACTGGACTTCCATGGTAAACTGGACTTCCATGGTGAACTGGATTTCCATGGTAAACTGGATTTCCATGGTAAACTGGACTTCCATGGTAAACTGGACTTCCATGGTGAACTGGATTTCCATGGTAAACTGGACTTCCATGGTGAAATGGACTTCCCTGGTAAACTGGATTTCCATGGTAAACTGGACTTCCATGGTGAACTGGACTTCCATGGCGAACTGGATTTCCATGGTAAACTGGATTTCCATGGTAAACTGGACTCCCATGGTGAACTGGACTTCCATGGTAAAATGGATTTCTATGGTAAACTGGATTTCCATGGTAAACTGGACTTCCATGGTAAAATGGATTTCTATGGTAAACTGGACTTCCATGGTAAAATGGATTTCTATGGTAAACTGGATTTCCATGGTTAACTGGACTTCCATGGTGAACTGGATTTCCATGGTAAACTGGAGTCCCATGGTAAACTGGACTTCCATGGTGAACTGGACTTCCATGGTAAACTGGATTTCCATGGTAAACTGGACTTCCATGGTAAACTGGACTTCCATGGTAAAATGGATTTCTATGGTAAACTGGATTTCCATGGTAAACTGGACTCCCATGGTAAACTGGACTTCCATGGTAAACTGGATTTCCATGGTAAACTGGATTTCCATGGTAAACTGGACTTCCATGGTGAACTGGATTTCCATGGTAAACTGGACTTCCATGGTGAACTGGACTTCCATGGTAAAATGGATTTCTATGGTAAACTGGACTTCCATGGTAAAATGGATTTCTATGGTAAACTGGATTTCCATGGTGAACTGGACTTCCATGATGAACTGGATTTCCATGGTAAACTGGACTCCCATGGTAAACTGGACTTCCATGGTAAACTGGACGTCCATGGTAAACTGGATTTCCATGGTAAACTGGACTTCCATGGTAAACTGGACTTCCATGGTGAACTGGATTTCCATGGTAAACTGGACTTCCATGGTGAACTGGACTTCCATGGTAAAATGGATTTCTATGGTAAACTGGACTTCCATGGTAAAATGGATTTCTATGGTAAACTGGATTTCCATGGTGAACTGGACTTCCATGGTGAACTGGATTTCCATGGTAAACTGGACTTCCATGGTAAACTGGACTTCCATGGTGAACTGGACTTCCATGGTAAACTGGACTTCCATGGTAAACTGGACTTCCATGGTGAACTGGATTTCCATGGTAAACTGGACTTCCATGGCAAACTGGATTTCCATGGTAAACTGGACTTCCATGGTGAACTGGATTTCCATGGTAAACTGGACTTCCATGGTGAAATGGACTTCCCTGGTAAACTGGATTTCCATGGTGAACTGGACTTCCATGGTGAACTGGACTTCCATGGTGAATTGGACTTCCATGGTGAACTGGATTTCCATGGTAAACTGGACTTCCATGGTGAATTGGACTTCCATTGCGAACTGGATTTCCATGGTGAACTGGATTTCCATGGTAAACTGGACTCCCAATGTGAACTGGACTTCTATGGTAAAATGGATTTCTATGGTAAACTGGATTTTCATGGTAAACTGGATTTCCATGGTAAACTGGACTTCCATGGTAAACTGGATTTCCATGGTGAACTGGATTTCCACGGTGAAGTGGATTTCCATGGTAAACTGGACTTCCATGGTAAACTGGACTTCCATGGTAAAATGGATTTCTATGGTAAACTGGACTTCCATGGTGAACTGGACTTCCATGGTGAACTGGATTTCCATGGTAAACTGGACTTCCATGGTAAACTGGACTTCCATGGTGAAATGGACTTCCATGGTAAACTGGACTTCCATGGTGAACTGGATTTCCATGGTAAACTGGACTCCCATGGTAAACTGGACTTCCATGGTGAACTGGATTTCCATGGTAAACTGGACTTCCATGGTGAACTGGATTTCCATGGTAAACTGGATTTCCATGGTAAACTGGACTTCCATGGTGAAATGGACTTCCATGGTAAACTGGATTTCCATGGTAAACTGGACTTCCATGGTGAAATGGACTTCCATGGTAAACTGGATTTCCATGGTGAACTGGGCTTCCATGGTGAATTGGACTTCCATGGTGAACTCTATTTCCATGGTAAACTGGACTTCCATGGTGAACTGGACTTCCATGGCAAACTGGATTTCCATGGTGAACTGGATTTCCATGGTAAACTGGACTCCCATGGTGAACTGGACTTCCATGGTAAAATGGATTTCTATGGTAAACTGGATTTCCATGGTAAACTGGATTTCCATGGTTAACTGGACTTCCATGGTAAACTGGATTTCCATGGTAAACTGGATTTCCATGGTGAAGTGGATTTCCATGGTAAACTGGATTTCCATGGTAAACTGGACTTCCATGGTAAAATGGATTTCTATGGTAAACTGGACTTCCATGGTAAAATGGATTTCTATGGTAAACTGGATTTCCATGGTGAACTGGACTTCCATGGTGAACTGGATTTCCATGGTAAACTGGACTCCCATGGTAAACTGGACTTTCATGGTGAACTGGACTTCCATGGTAAACTGGACTTCCATGGTAAACTGGACTTCCATGGTGAACTGGATTTCCATGGTAAACTGGACTTCCATGGTGAACTGGACTTCCATGGTAAAATGGATTTCTATGGTAAACTGGACTTCCATGGTAAAATGGATTTCTATGGTAAACTGGATTTCCATGGTGAACTGGACTTCCATGGTGAACTGGATTTCCATGGTAAACTGGACTCCCATGGTAAACTGGATTTCCATGGTGAACTGGACTTCCATGGTAAACTGGACTTCCATGGTAAACTGGATTTCCATGGTAAACTGGACTTCCATGGTAAACTGGACTTCCATGGTGAACTGGATTTCCATGGTAAACTGGACTTCCATGCTGAACTGGACTTCCATGGTAAAATGGATTTCTATGGTAAACTGGACTTCCATGGTAAAATGGATTTCTATGGTAAACTGGATTTCCATGGTGAACTGGACTTCCATGGTGAACTGGATTTCCATGGTAAACTTGACTCCCATGGTAAACTGGATTTCCATGGTAAACTGGACTTCCATGGTGAACTGGATTTCCATGGTAAACTGGACTTCCATGGTGAACTGGACTTCCATGGTAAACTGGACTTCCATGGTGAACTGGATTTCCATGGTAAACTGGATTTCCATGGTAAACTGGACTTCCATGGTAAACTGGACTTCCATGGTGAACTGGATTTCCATGGTAAACTGGACTTCCATGGTGAAATGGACTTCCCTGGT